GTAGAGGATGCAGTGATATAGATGATGATGTAGGTCATGTATGCGTTGTAGTTGATCTATGTCATGTAGATGAGGCTGGTGGAAAAAGATTGTGTAGGTGATGTAGATGGTGTAGGTGAGATAGATGATGATCATGATGGTGGTGGTGATGATCATGATAATGATGATGATGTAGGGAAGATGGTGCAGAAGATGTAGGTGATGTGGGTGATGTAGAGGATGTAGTGATGTAGGTGATGATGATGTAGGTAATGTATGTGTTGCAGATAAAGCATGTCATATAGATGAGGTTGATGGAAAAATGTGTAGGTGGTGTAGATAATGTAGGTGAGACAGATGTAGGTGATGATGATGATGATGATGATGATGATGATGATGATGATGGTGTAGATGTAGATGTAGATCTAGAGAAGATGGTGTAGAAGATGTAGGTGATGTAAAGGACATAAGAGATGTGGATGATGTTTGTTAGGTAGATGAAGTGAAGCGTGAGGCAGACAGCAGTTCTTTGGGAAGAAAACCCTTCGCACGAGCTTCGGGCATATTGGCCGCCACAGTATTACAAACGCTTTTGGAAAAACATGTTTTCATAAAGTGTTCGTGCTGTGATTGCGCCTTGCACGCCTGACCTCTAGAGTAAAAAGGGCGGGCCAATAAACATACTTCACTCATTATTGCGTGTTTGGCAACTGTTTTTTTTTCTCGCTGTTGGGGATACTCTTTGGGCTTATTTTATCTAAAAAAATCTGAAAGTGGCCCCTGTATTAATAGAAAACAAAAATGGATTCATTATCCAACATCCTATTCTTGTCGCATTGAAACAAGTTAAACTGATTTTATGAAATACGAGCCGTTATTTTTTCTGCACAGCAAAGATAGAATCGGGACGTCATCGAAAATTCAGTAATTTGCCTTCAGCCGCAGGCAAAACCAAATGCAGAATATCCAATGTATGCAAGTTGATAGAATTGCAAATATATATATATATAAGTCTTGAAAGACATAAAAAGAATCCTAGAGTATCTCAATCAAATTTCTGATATTTTTCCTTGGTGAAGGCATCATCTGAACTTCGTTTGAGAAGATTCTTTGGACGGCCTGCGCTGTTTTGAGCGCAACGTCTACCTCTGCAAATTCTGCCAAAACTGTCCTGTTTGGGACAGATGCATCAGCGACACAGGGCGTAGCGATGGCACGCAGGGTCAGCCGATCTCCATGTCATCGTTTGCTGGTTGGCCTCACTTGCAAGCTGCTGTGTTTTTTTGTCGTGGCAACATGTGGCAACACATCAAATGAAATCACTTGGAGTCATGGACCGCAAATCGCACTGCAGTTAAAACCGGTTTAAATTGAGAACAGCAGCCATGAGCATCGTTGGCTCCCTCCTGTCACAGCCGTGCTCAAAACTTGGCGCTCGGAAAATTGCCATGTTGGTGTTAAACGCATTTTTTCAGCTTGTGCATTGATCCGCTTCCCTGACCTGATGGCCATCCTCCAAATTCGGACACCACATTTGCTGATGAGCCTCCGGTGTGGGAAAACATGTGTGCGAAGCTCAAGGACGAATTTTCTGAATTTTCTCCAAACAGTGTTTTTGCAATTCATCAAACAGGCAACAAACCCAAGACATCGAACATCGAAGATCCATGTTGAAATATGCTGAAATCTGTTGAGTATCAGCAAGGATCGATATGGATCGAAAATCACTGTGCCTCTGCCCTGGAGCAGGCCACTAAAGCCCCGCATCTTGTGCAAATCACTGAGCTGCCATCCTGACCACTGCACTTCGGCCATATTCGGCCCTGTGATGCATTATGATGCAGGAATCTGTATATGGGGGCTGTTCTAAACCTAAGTAGTTTCTTGCCCATCTTGCGCTCGCCCTTGCGCCTTCTTGCGCGCCCCACGTTTTACCGCAGAATCATGTCCGAATACTAACTTAGTTTAGTTTACTTTGCATTTCATGAGGCATGTCTGGCTCGCGTGACGTTTACAATAGATAGGGTCTTCATTTGTAGGCATTTGTTTCCGTCTTTTCTGAATTGCTGCCACAATTAGAATGGTGCTTGTCTGGAAACGGAATGTAAACCCAAAACTATTTTTATGTAACAAAGCAATGACGATCAATTATGTGATTTCGGGGCGGCATTTTTCAGAAAAACAATTTCCAATACAGTAATGTCAGTGCCACGTCACGGCCCTAAGAAGCCAAGTTTGATACTCGTAGACCAATGGGGTCATACTTGTTAAAAGAGTCCTGTTTTTTTCTCTCTATCTTTCCACATCTCCCTCTCTCTCTCTCTCTCTTTCTCCTTCCTATACCCAGCAACGTTTTGACTGTTTCAGACCTGTTTCAGACCTGTTTTAGACCTTCTGTTGACCACCATTTAATGTTCAGAACCCTTGGGAAAATCTTGAAGCACATTTGCCAACCCGAAGGGTTCCCGTACCTCATTGATTCACCGCCACTCTCGGCGGAGCACCCTGCAGCAGCGTGCCTTCGTTGAGTTTTAATACCCAAGACGCAAAACAATGGCAGCCAGTGCGGTCCGGGAAGACATGCCGCGGTCCGTGAAAGCAGCACCAAAAACGCACTCTGATTGCATCCATTGCGGTCCGAAAAGACATGTAGCGGTCCGAGAAGGCAGCACCCAAAACGCACTCTAATTGCAGCCATGGCGGTCTGGAAAACTTAGCGCCCAAAACGCCCTCTGATTGCATCCATTGCGGTGCGAAAAAAGATTTGTCGCGGTCCGGAAAAGTAAGCAGCTAAAGCACACTCTAATTGTAGCCTTTGCGGTCCGGAAAAAAAAACAGCGAAAAGGCGATCCAAGTGCAGCCAGTGAAGTCCGGGACATGAAGCAATATAGAAGCGCAAACATACATTTTCAAAAAAGTGACGGTGCCCGGTGAAAACTCATAGCATCTAGTAGGAAAGCAAAACCCAAGAAGCCATTCCAAAGCAAAGAAAGAGAAACAGGGAAGGGGAGGGTAGGAAAGACTGAAGTTTTGAGCGCTTCAGACCTGTTTCCGACCTGCCTCAGACCTGTTTTATGCTATCATTTTTGTTGATTTAATGCTAGTAGCAGAAGACTTTTTTGTTTGGCTTGCACTAGAATAGTAAAAGAAATAGTGATAGCAGTAGGTGGTAGTAGTAGTAGTGGTAGTAGTAGTAGTAGTAGTTAGCAGTAGTAGTAGTAGCAGTAGTAGTAGTAGTAGTAGTTAGCAGTAGTAGCAGTAGTTAGCAGTAGTTAGCAGTAGTAGTAGTAGTAGTAGCAGTAGTAGTAGTAGTAGCAGTAGTAGTTACTTGTTATTGACCAACTCGTATGTAGTAGTAGAAGGTCCGTTAATTATTATTTAATGATGTTTTAGTTAATAATGATTAAATAACTATATATTAATTTATAGTTAGCTATATAGTTCTAATAATGATACGACACATTGGTTAATAATTATATTAGATAGTTAATATACCTGTTCCTAGTTATAACCTGTTATTAATGATACTATTTGATGAACCTGTGAAATATTATTATTATCACTATGTTTTTTCCTGTTATAGTCTGTTAAAAAATAGTCTGAACTATGATAATAATAAACTGTTTTATGTCAACTTTCATTATTTTTCATTATTTTCCTGACTTTTTATTGTTTCCATTATGTTTTTTGATTTTCGGTAGCTTTCCAAGTTTTGTCACTCCTTTACATTGTTTTGTTGAATGTTTTTATTGGTTTTAACTTCAACGTGTTCATTGTCATTTCTTCAGAGATGTTCATTGCATTTCCATTTTTTCAGGTGCTGTGATTGATTTTCCGGGTTTATATGTTTCAGTGTGTACCTCACAATGTTTTCATTTTTTAAAGGTTGTTCATTGTTTGTTTGTTGCTGGTTTTTTATTTTCCAAACGTATTTAACTATAACTGTAGGTATTTTGCCATTTTTGTTCGGCCATCATTTTTATATTTTCACAGATGTTTTTAAATAATACCTAGAAACACCAGAGGCAAAAAAAGTGCCTCAGGCCCCCAAGGCGAAAAATAACGCCGCATGAGTTTTGTTTTGCCTCTGGTGGGTTAAAAATGCCTCTGAAAAGCAAAAAAAAAGCCTCAAACACAAGAGTTTACCAAAGCCCTAGGACTCCCCATGGCGACTTTTGCAGTTGCAAAGCCCACAACTAGGGACCAAACCCCTGACAAACAGCTGCACGTACTGCTAAGGAATTCTTATGATTTCCCTATGTAATGAACGCTGCAAGAAAAACAATGCAGAAAACAAGCCCTAGAGTATATATAGTATATACAGTAAAATATATGTTTTCATATTTGCACATTTGAAGCGGTGGCTTTCATCGACATTGAATCACTTGGATTGCAGCTTTCAACAAAATTTCACGGCAGGAAGAAAACTAGAAGAATCAAAATCCGTGATTTCCCGCCATTTCTTCCCGCCGTTTTCTGTCCTCTGAATCTTCAGTTTCTCCATGTTTTTCCTGACAACCATTTTTGTCGTATTCACTTCCGCTGCCTTTTGGAAAGATGCTGCAAATGCCAAAAAGCAACAAACAATTCCAGTGAGACAGCATTTTGTGGGCAATGACAGTCCCGCTGACAGATTTTAGCCACGCAGAAGCTACGCCCCCAGTTTTAAGCGATTTACACGAGTGAGATTTGGAATTGGATTTAGCCAAGGCTTTGCGTTCGCAGGTATTGAAATCAAAACAATGTCCGCTGTCATTTACCCATCCCAGAACAATGTAGAGCAGAGAAAAAGGAAAAACCATGAAAAGCACGGATTACAACAAAAGCGCCTCAGAAAACAAAAAATGCCTCAGAAAACAAAAAATGCCTCAGCAAAGCAAAAAATGCCTCAGATCAACTGGAGGCGCCGCAGACCCTCCAAGGTTTTTTTTTACCGTTTGGTTTTTCCAGGTATTCCCATGATACGTCCAGTAAACCCCATGGTCAAATTAAGAAAAAAACCGGGGGACCTTTCGGAGGCTTCATTCAACGATCCTACTGACCTGCACTGCAGCTTCATCTTCAAGGATGTTGCCCTGGGAAGAACTGAGAACCTGAGGCGTGAGGCGTGAACTGTGAAGAACTCTGGTGATGGAACTTGTGAAGAAAGAATGGAATCACAGATACTGGTAAAATACATGTAAATATAACAATTTTATATTGGAGTAATTAAACAATATAATCGGTGATTGGACCATATATGGTTTGATTAATGATATTAATTGCATCCCCCTAATATCAACCCCCCAAAAATGGTCCCAAATATCTGCGAAATATTGGCGGATTCTTTGCATCGAGATCCTCCTCCTGGAACAGTGTGCCTCATCCTGAATGGAAAGGGATGCTGTTTTTTTTCCCTTCCCCCGTTCAAAAAAAACACACAACGACACCATGGTGGATATAGGGAATTTCCACATTGGGACCATAGACATGGGGTGTTGAATAAGTTGAATATGAACGGGTGATGGGATTATGGTTGATGATCTTAGTGGTGACCAATCTCCTCAGAAATGTTGAGCAATCCGGAGATCATCTCTTTGAACAGTTCTATGATTAGGTGGTTCACCAATCATCATCATCTCATAGAATCTTGGAACCACTTGAACCAAGATTCTTTCAACTTTAATCAACTTAATCTTTGAATTCATTTTGAGGTTCCGAATCCATTTGATTCATTGGGAACCACAAAATCTTTGAGTTAGCTGATTCCAATCTGGATAAAGATTGTCTGGATAAACTGAAGTAGGATAATTACCATTTGATAACATGGGATAACCATTGGTATTACCATTATACAGTATATACTGGACATTTTGGAATAATTTTCCATTGGTACCACGAAGTTGTTCTGGTGATTTGGGCTCTGCTTCCCATGCTGACATATGCTGACCAGTGACATCCAGGATCTTATTCTCAGTGACTTCCAATTGCTCCTTGTTCTCACCTGCGATGAGTCGATGAGAGATTTCAGCCCCGGTGAATTTCACCCCGATGCTTCACAAGCGGTTGGTGGTTAAGGAGCCCTTAATAAAGCTTTATCATAGGGCTGTCACTTTTGGGGGAGCCTCCAAGTACCTAGAAGTACCTGGGCTACTATACTCATTATGACTTGGGACTTTTACAGTAGCAATTTTGATGGGTACGGTACGGACGGAAAATCGGAAACTCATAAGTACATTGGAGGTTTCCAGTTTTGTCATGGAAACCCAAAAAATGCTCCAAGTCATTCAACCATGACTTAGTTAATCGCTTAACCCATGGTGACGACTGGGGATCCTCCATGACTTGAGAACACACGTCCAGCGGGGGCACCTTCCACCAATCTGGCCTTTTCCTCTGCCAGATCCTGGAAGCGGATGGATCTGGACCAAGGACCAAGGCACTGCAGTGTCTTTGATGCCTCAAAGTCGGGAACACGTAAAGGAAACCCCAAAAAAAAACATAGATATCATTAGATACCTAGATCGAAAGGTGTGGTATCTCGATTTGTGATGCGCAGTTTTCTCTTTAGCAGCTCTTGAATCGAGCGAAGTACCCCATGACACCATGACACCATCAGGCTGCCTTTTCAACCACAATGTTCAGCAACTGATCTTGTAGTCCCACCTGGTGAGATGGCTGCCAAAAGTGACGACTGCGGCATGTGAAGTTTAAGCAATGTTCCTATCTGCAGAGTCTCAAAATGGTAGATGTAGGCATTAGAAACACGCACAACATCACCCCAGGTACTCATGTTAGCGACACACTTTCACTAAACTCGACCCAAATCCATCATCCAAAAATCTTGAGCAAGTGGAAAAAGGGATGGACATTGATTTTGAAAGATGCTGCTGGCGAATTTTAACTCACGACATAGTCCAACTTCACCCATCTGAAGGCCCCGAGAAGCCTTCTTTTGCAGCATTGCTGGCACCCCCAAATGAGGAGATCAATCAATGGATTGGTTTAAGGCAAAATTGAAACCGGAAACCCGATATTTCTATGGGAAAACCAGGTTTCCGGTAAAAATGTTCCCAAAAACCATGGATAAGCACAAGCAAACACTGAGTGTCCCAAGTGTCAACATAACGTAGACCCTCCAAGCCATCAAAATTGCCACAAGTCCTCAAGATAATTGGTATATTGCCAGAATTTTCGAGGTACTTGGAGGGTCCAGGTACTAGAATGATGTATGATACTCAATATATCTTATCCTTTCAAATCCTTGTATTTTTTCTTAAATATCATTGATATACATGGATATACCTTAATTTAGCTTGATTTATCTCGATTTACCGGAAATGACTTCAGCTTTAGAACATCCGTTGACCAAGCCACGCGCTTCCCATGAAGGTCTGCAAGAGGACCGGTTCCACCGGATCCGTCTCCTGGCGGAACAAAATCGGGTTCAATCATTGGAAACATGGTGGGTTGAATGGACACTAAACATATTTGTTTGTTTTGATAGGAAGACATATTGATGTTTCATATGGAACCTAGAACTTTTGATGGTTCGACACAAACCTGGTTCAATCCCACGGGAATGATCTCGAATGCTCGCCCAATCCAAATACTTCCGAGAAAAGAAATCACCAAAACATAGTCCAATTAGCGAAGCTAACCTTGGATCCATCGGGTAGTATGGTTGAAATATGTGTCATGAAATATGTCACAAAATATATGTATAATGTTTGACAATGGGAAAAAACAATGAACAACTCGCACGAGAAATTCCGAATACTATTACTATCTATTAACTATTACTATTCCATAGTCACGATGATAACTGACAATTATGGTATGTGAATCTGGTAAATTTATGATAATATCATAGATATTATGGACTGGAAACTAGTTGTACCTTTTTGGTCAGTTGTGGTCCGTCTGATATTCCATGGTATGGAGTCAGTGGGTAGTAAACAGTAATATGGCATCTGGTTGGTAATTTCAACACTAAAGAATATGCTCCTCACTTGGAATTATCATCCCAGTCGGGTTGAAACATATTGAGAATAGTAGTTTGAAACCACCGACCGGATATAGAAATTATGATGACTTATGTAGGTGAATTCCAACATAATCCGACGATTCCAACATATTCCAACCATGTCCTGAACTTCACGCTATAGAATCGATGATTCATCGGCTCAATTCAGCCCCTGAAGGGTCGCCCTCCGATCGATCCTCGACATTTTCGATGGGGTTGCCAAACTGGATGCAACCTGCGGTCAGCTCCAAAGGGACGTGGTTGTCTTGTCTGATCCAACCATTTTCTGAGAATGGAAGGAAAACTTAATCCGAAAATATCCCTAAACCATACCCATTGCTACTGTATATTCTGTTCGAAGATACACAGCTACCCATTCTTATGACATGTTATGCAGCAAATGTTTTTTGTTATGTGTTGATTGTTTGTAGTTCTTTGCAAGCCTCACAGGAAAAGTTGAATCCTGTCACAAAAATCTGTAGATGCCAGTGATTTATGACAGCATATGATAGCCTTTGGAGGTGAACTCTATTTGTGCTTTTAAATATAGGTTTTTAAGCCTACTTTTGTCACAAAACACTGCAAACACAAGTATTTTTATTTTTAAGCATTTTTAGTCCAACAATCTCTCCCCCGTGAGGGGGAGAAAAGACATGGTTTCCTTTAGATTGGCATTGAGCCAATTGATCAAATATGAAATCGATGAAATCCACAATCATTACCTGAATCCCCAGGATTCCCAATTTTTAATACTTAAAATTACTGAAACCACCATTTGTGATGATCAAACGCATTAAACCACAACTTTTCATACTTAATCCACCATTTTTCGATGAATTGAGTCAGAATCTCTCAACGAAAACGGCCCTTCACCTTCCAAGCGCTGATAGTCGCTATCCGTCAACTTCGCCACAACCAGCAGCAGTTGCCCCATCCTGGCACCATGCGCGGCTTGGGGATTCCACGTGTTAAGAAACCTCCACACATAAAGGTTTCAACTGTAAATGTTCCCATCCAAATTCTGGAAGCTTAGAAACATCCTGTACATTCGTGACTTGAAGGTTGGATCTATTTCATAACCTTTTTGAGAATATGTAATGAATTAAATGATGAATGAAATCTCATTCTGAGCCACAAAAAATCGGTCCCATGTCCCGGGCCCCAAGACATGGCGTGCTTTTTGATCCACCGATTGCCCTTGTGGGTCGATGCATAAGGGCCACCTTGGAGGTGGGGAAGCGCTGAAACGGGATAGAAAAAACCATGGTATCTCGAAAAGGTTGGAAAATACTGGGAAATTGATGGAAATTGTGGAAATTGTGGAAAATAATGTTATAATGTTGATAAGAGCGTATTTTTTTGTGAAACACGTCTTATTCTATAAACGAACTATAAGGTGAAATGAGTACAGAGTATGTATTCAACTAGGTCCAAAACCCGGTGCCAATCATCCGTCCAAAAATGTGGCCAGAATCCTCAATCCAGACGTTCATCACTGAGCCATACTGAGCCATACTGAGCATGGAACCGTCGTGCCTGCCGTATACCCACAGAACAGGGTGCACTTGTGTCACAGTCCGACATTGAATGGACAAGTCTGAATATGTCTTGCTAATTGCCCAGATGTCAATCGCAAATCGCAACAATCCACAACAATCCAAGAACCGTCACATACCAGCACTGTTCACGGGAAAAAAGACGTAGATGAAGCCTTCTCCAAACATGTGATACCCCAAAAATTGTTGGTTAATTATTTTCCCTACTGACATGACCATAAAATATCTATAAATTAGATTACGCTCTGGTAAACTAACATAACTATATGGAAAATCACAATTTTAAATTGGTAAACCAACGAACTAAATGGCAATTTTCAATACCAAACTGTTAGTTTACCAGAGGATAAATCCAGCATGTTCAGTGCCCGGATAACCGCCTTGTCCATGATGATGCCATTCTCAATGCTGTAGGGGTCGTTCGGCAGTCCGGCCACCACCCAAGCCCTTACCTGCCATATCTGAATTTTAAAGAAATGACAATATTTTCTGACCCACCAAAAAAATGTAAACGTATAATTAATCAACGTAAATTTGCCTTTTTCTTTAGGTTTCTACCAGAATTCCATTTGTTGGACTCTTTTTTGGGGGTTGCGATGGAGCCATAACTGCTGCGATGGAGCCAGCACTCCAAACCAACCACAGAAGCCTTCAAAAAATGATGTTCACATTAAGTGGCCTACTTGTGGTGTAGGTTTTATATGGTTTATCAATATTTATCACAGCACATCATAAATACATCCCATTTCTTCCCATTCATCTCCACTGCTCCTAAAGTCATCTATCCAGTCTATCTAGCACCTTTCTGGCTCCCATATGGTGGTTTCCCAAGTCAGTACCCCGAGTCATCATCCATTGATGGGTTCCTCCATGAAATCATCCAGCTATTGCCAGCTATTGGGGTACCCACCTGTTTATGATATGGACATGGAATGGAGTATTCACCCATGATTGACCAATGATTCACAATTCTATTAATATATTCACCACTGTATATCAACCATATATCAACCATTGTTAACCCATGATTAAGCATTATAATACCATTTTATTAACCCTCCATTTTGGGAAACCACGGATCCTCCCAAAACCAGCACTGGCGCCTTCACGGGTTCCAGGCACTCCAACGAGAACTTCTCGGATCTGACGCTGCGACTCCGCCCAGGCGCCAGGCCGAGGCCTAGAAAGGTGGGACTTATTTTTCTATGGAGGTTACTCCAACAAGCTGGATGGTTTACAATGGAAAATCCAAACATAAAAAGGATGATGACTGGGGGGTCCTAAGTCATGGAGGTAACCAGCTGTATGGATGGTTGATTTCATGGAAAATCCGAAAATCAAATGGATGATGACTGGGGGATGCTGGGGGTACCGCCCCCAATTTTAGGAAACCTCCATATATAACTGTGTTAAAAAGTTAAGTTATGATTATGCATTGAATATAATACGTGTTAAGCAGTGATACTAAGTGGGATGATCTTTACATGTCCAAACTCGAGGTTTCCGCTTTGTCAGAGGGACCTATGGTGACTTGGGAATCCCCATTTTGGGAGATCTCCATAGAAAAAACTGTTTTGTGAAGTTCAGATATGAATATGTTTTGCTTACCAGTTATACTAGTGGGATGGTCCTCGAGGAGGTGATAAAACAAATAGTGGTGATTCAAACAATGCGGTGATTATGATGATGATGATGATGATGGTGATGATGATGATGATGATGGTGGTGGTGGTGGTGGTGCTGTTCTCTCAAAAATCCGACGATAATTCTTAGTAAAAACAGCACTGATGTCGCTGGAAATGGCAAAGAATACCAAGTCCAAATGATATTTTCATGTCTTTTCCTTCCTTTTGGGATTCTATGGCGATGCCATAAGTTTGTCATGGTCTGAGAGGCTGAGAGGCAGGCTTCACAGCACTCTCGCGGAAGTCTGGAGTGAAGGCACCCGGTGCGATCAAACCACTGGCAACAATGACCTGGCCACGGCATTGCGAACGGTGACCAATGATAACAATGAACCCGGCCAGATGGTTTTCCAAGGCTCAACGTTTTGCACGAAAAAACGTCTGACCGTCTGACATACGATGCCTCGAAGAAACGAACGTGAGCAGCAGCGATCCCCACCGAAAAACGCACACGGGCGGAACTTGCACCAGATAGGTCTTCGTCAATGACTCCTCAACTGGCGCTGCCGCGCACATAGAGATTTCCGAGAATTATCAGAGAATTATCAGAGAATTACCACATGGAACACACATCAAACATACTACAATAACATATAATAGCAATATCACAATATCACCTTCAGTAAATCTGGACCGATGGCATCGCCATTCAATGGAAGGCCAGATGATTAGCAACAACTATTTAATACTGCTGGTATCAAGGTAACCTGGTATGCTCCATTCGCAAGTCAGGATTTTGGAGCTACATCATTGCGCATCCTCAACCCTGAGTTTTTTGTCGAACATCGCAATGTTCCAAGAATCAGATATCCATTCCATCCACTGGTTCATGCTCATTGCCGCAACGAAAATGACATACATTACCATACATTGAGTGATATTTGTTTGCCACTCAAATTTCAATGCACAATTATGTCCATAGAATAATCTCAATGTGTCATTCTGAAACCATCTTTATATCATGGTTCGACCGTGAGTTCAAACACATACAAAAATAGCTAATTTTTGAAGCTGATTTTGTTGTATATCTTTTTTGTTGAAACACATACAAAAATAGCTAACACGTGTTTGGGAAAATAGAGTTTTTGAGATGGAACCAATGCATTTAGGTTTATGATTTGTTCTTCTTTGGTGCAAGTAGGGATGGCCTCAAACCCTTCTTTTTTTGTATTTAGAATGTAGCTTTGGGGCCCCCTATTTTGAGACATCCCCAAGTGTAACCTGCAGAAGTTTTCAATTTCCTCCAAGTAGCCACGCAAATAAAATAAACCCTGCAAGATCTACCATTCTCAAGACATGCCCCACAAGTAACCTGCCAGGTTCTCAAGCAACACAACTAACCTGCCAGGTTCTCAAGTAACACAAGTAACCTGCAATGTTATGGAATAAAATAGTTCAAACATAATGTATAACTATATCCAAGGGCAAATGTAGCATTAGTGTTCACAATAATCAGGTTGAGATTAGTTCATGTCTCTACCTGTGTATGTCAACCCACTTTATACTTATTTGGTTGTTCCATGTTTCCTATTTTTGACTTGCTTGTGAGTTACTTGTGACTTACTCATGGGTTACTTGTGACTTCCTTGTGGGTTACTTGTGGTTTACTTATGGGTTACTTGTGACATACTTTTGGGTTGCTAGGTACTTACTTGGGCTTACTTGGGACTTACTTGTGAAGTACTTGTGTTTTACTTGGGACTCGCCTGGGACTTCCTTGGAACTGACTTGTGGAACAGTTGTGTCTTACTATAGGGACTCACTTGAGACTTACTTGGGACTCACTTTTGACTTTATTGGGATTCTTTTGGAACTTTCCTGGGACACACTTATGAATTACTTCTGGGTTAGTAGTGTGCTTTCATGAGGCTTACTTGTGCTTCTTGTGGCTTTCTTGTGACCTAGAAAAACAAACCAATCCTTCAAATTCTTAGTCCAAATTCAGTCTTTCCAATCAGCAGGCCATTTGTATAGAACCACTACGATCATTGCAATCAATACCTTCCAAGTCTTTACTTGACTATCACAATCTACCTGGGAAAAATGTTTTTGCAAGGATCATGCTGTGGTTCAAATTTGATCCTGTGCTTCCCTACCGCGACATAGGTGGCATGGGTGACCTGGTGTGGAAGGTGTAAAACCAACAGCAAAAACTTACAAAAAAAAACAAGCAAAAAAGTATGATTTTACATATGTTACAAACATGACAAAACATCAATTTAGGTATATACCTAAATCAATCTAGGTATATACCTATATTTTTCAATAGTAAATATTTACTAAGCTAAGGAAAAAATTACGTCATTTTTTCGACCTAAATCCAAAAATTTAGGTAAATTTTTGCTCACCTAAATTTTACTATTTTAGGAGGGGTTCTTGCTTAAATCATGTAAAATCACCAGATTCCCACGCCGAAATCATGTGAAATCCTCCTAAGTTTGGCGGCAAAACCCCAACTTTGAAGGTTTACATCCCAATTTTTCTTGCTTCAGCCAGGGTTAAAGACTTCGGAAAGTCTGAAACAATCCGGGAAAAACAATTCCAATGGCTTATTTGTTCATGTTCCCTATGTGATGGCCATTTGAATGGATCCACTTCAACAAAATTACCCCTATTCGCCATCTCCTTTTCTGCTTGAAAGCAGTTTCCCTATTCGCCATGGCTTCTCATAATCCCCAGAAAATTAGGTACTAGATGGTACTAGTGTATAGATGATTATAGATGTATATAGTGGTGCCAACGGGTCTCACCCAGACCTATGGATTGAAAAAAAATATACCTCTGTGGTCAATGAAGATCTTCCATAAGGGATGGCCCTGGCCATGCTAGGCTGGGTCAAAATCCACCGCATCGCTGGCTGCATCTCCTCGGGGAGCTGGCTCTTGGCCGCGGCGTCACGGCGTCACGCAGGGCACCTGATTCAAGAGGATTGTTGGGAGGTTCCAGCGCAAGAGCCTTGGAAAATCAGAATTGGGGGGTTAGTTGTAGGAGATGGGATGATTTACTCATTTCTAAGGGGGCAATCCTATTGAATCCCCATTGTTGGATGGTTTTTTGATGTTTTTTGGGGGTTCAAGCTGAATAAATTGCAGTGCATTGGGATTATTTCGCCACGGATGGATGAAGTACTTGAAATAGTGGGTTAGGTGGATTTTGAATCTTGCCCCCCCATAGCCAACCTGTTTCCTCACTAAGGCCCCGACTGGCATCGTTATTTTGGGCTTCTCGCAACTGCTGACGCGCCTTCGCTCGTGGAACTTCTTCTTGGAAGACCTGCAGTCTGTCAGGGTGCTGATGGTCATGCGAGTGCAGAATATCTGGAAAAATGTAATTGTTGAACGGCTGAACGGACAATCTGCGAGTGCAGGAAAAAACAACAGGCATTAAGGTTGTAAAGCACGTGGCAATTTTGGAGTTGCAACAATTCAGAATGATGCAGCTACCATTCATTGGTGACATCTTGCATGCACCAGAATCTTCAGGTATCGGTATGGCTGCAAATGGCACGCCATGAAATGCCTCCATCTCTCTGTTCGACTCTTTCCAAACTGAGCCACCTGCCCAGGCTCCAAGTCCAAGCCCTTCTCACGCATGGGCTCTCGATGGGGGTACCAAGGAATTTAAGGATGCCTAGATATGCCTAGTGGTTTTTGATACATGGATTGGTACCATCTAAAACAGATTGGGAGATTATGGCCATATCACAAACGGATCC